AAGATCACAAAGGTCCTTTCAACATCATCATCATCATCATTATTATTATTATCATCATCATCATCATCATCATCATCATCACATATCATGTCACCCAAAGCAAATGCTTAGGCTTTTCTCAAGATTCATACTGGGCCTGCATCAGACAATAACCAGGTTTTTTTTTAAGGGCTGGGGACACTCCAATTGAATTAGGGAACTCTGTGACTACTTAGTAGTTATTTATCTATTATAAAAGAAATACTGTATCTATGGAATACACAAATTGGCTGTACTGAAGACAGCACAGTTATCAAAGATGTTTCAGAAGACAGGACAGAAAACAATGGCTTTGTATTACCAAGAAGTAGATAAGGTAATGGTAAGGATTGTTCAATAACAGAACAAAAAAACAAGTAGGCCCTGGATTCTCCTTGCTGGAAAAATTGAAAGAGAGGCTTTATAGCCATGGGTTAAGCCACAGGTCCCCAACCTGTCCCCAAGCTTGGCCACCAGGCCGCATGCACTCATCCCCCCACACACACACACTCACGCTAGTGGCGTCCCACTGGCACTAGCATTGCTCAACCCCTGAGCAGGGCAGTACATGAAACCACACCCCCTCCGGTCCGCAGAAAAAACGCACTCCACGGAACCGGTCCCTGCTGTTCAAAAGGTTGGGGACCTCTGGGTTAAGCCATGTGGAGTAATGATGGATCCCTGCCCTGGGCAGATGTCAGGCATGAAGAATCAGAACTACACAATAAATTCCAGTTAAGATTATCTATTGCTCATGCCTATGCACAAGATTCTAGTTAACTAGTGATCAGCAATAAATTGGCATTAGGTAAGAATTAATGGAATTCAAGGGGGGGCTAGACTTGATTCTCTTGTGGAAATGTAATGATTCCAGACTGATTCCTCTCTTGAATGCCCCCCCTGCCTCTTCTTCTCCTACATCAGGAGACTGGAAGATCCTTCACAAGCCTTCCATTCTATCATTCTATGGTCATGTATCAGAAGTATTGTTTAAAAAATTATTATAGGGCAGAAATGAGGGAGGAAAATGAAATGATGTTGTAGAAAGCGGAACAATTATTTATTTATTAAATTCATATGCTGCCCTTCTTGCCAACCAGGTTCCTAAATGAATGGCTCTATTTATAATGTGGCCTATGGCATAATATACATTTACTGATGCATGCACATTTGTAACCTATGAAAATAATATTGATAGAATATGTTCATATCACCACTATTTCATTTGTTACAAAAAAGTAACTTGTGTTGAAAAATACCAGAGCTTTGCCTTTTATTTTGGATATTTCAAAACATGCATTAAGAAAAGCGTAGGTTTCTTACTGGAATAGCTTTTTGGATTTCATTATCGACTGGAGAGGATGACATGGGCAACCCACTTCTCAAAACTACAGGCAACAGCCTGATCAAACTAACTATCAGCCTGAACAGTAATCTTTGTTAGACTTAAGATGACAAAATACCTAGGTGAACAACTGTAGGAGGAGGAGGAAGAGCCCTAAACCTGGTACTTGTAGAAACCAATCCTGGTACACCTATGAAAGAATCCTGATGTTAGGTGGGTTTTATGATGGGAAAAATTGTCAGAAATAAATACTGGCACTATATTTCTAGAATATAAAACATACCATGGGATCGATGTCTAAACAACTGTGAATTTCTAGCAAGTCCTGGATTTTCTTCCTCGAAATGCTTATTATCTGGACAAAGAAACGATAGAAATAATATCAACTTTACTAAAAAGGGGGCTTCATTTTCCATCATTTTCTAGATTCTCAACTCTCAGAACTGTCCCCTTGGGTAAGAAAGAGAATGTGCTCACCCATCTTTGAGATTATTTATGCTGAAAGATTACAACTGTTTTGAAGTAGACTGGTCAGTTTTATGGTTAGCAGAACTTAGATCCTCCTGCTTCAATAGGAAACCCATTATTATTTTAATTATTATTATTTTTTACTTTGTATCCCGCTTTTATTATTTTTACAAATAACTCAAGGTATAAACATATCCAACAAATCTTCCTCCTCCTAGTTTTCCCATAGCAACGACCTGTGAAGCGGTTGGCTGAGAGAGAATGATTGGACCAAGGTCACCCAGCTGGCTTTCATGGCAAAAGTGGGATTTGAACTCACAGTCTCCTGGTTTCTAGCCTGGCGCCTCAACTACTAGACCAAACTGAATCTCATCACCTTATTATTTACCAAATCATTTTGCAATCTAATTCAGAATTCTGAATCACAGAATTCCATCAAGAGACTTCGTAACATTATGAACTACAATCACAATCACAACACACAATCTGTTCTTATATTATTTATAGAACATAAACTAGGGATTTAGGAATAACTACAGTGGCAAGATAGGCAATGAAAATAACAAAGCTTTCAGCTATAATCTTCTGGTTTCCATTCCATTTATTAGTCCTTTTTTAAAAAAATAGTACAAAAATATACTTAGTATAAAAAGAAAGTGGATAGAACACAGTTCAGTTTTATATTGAAATAATCTAATATGTGAATCAATCTAGCTCATATAAGAAAATTCTGTTTATATATAATAAAACCACAGTACAGAAA